CCCTGACGAGTTGTCCAGCAGTCCATACACGAAAGAAAAAGAAAAAAACAAAGAAAAAGAAAAAAAGAAACAAAGAAAAAAAGAAAAAGAAATAAATAAATAAAATAAAGAAATAAAATAAAGTTTATAGATCTGGATTGAGCCATCGTGAATCTGGCGAGAACATGAATGCGGTGACCCTGACGAGTTGTCCGGCTGTCCATACACGAAAGAAAAAGAAAAAAACAAAGAAAAAAGAAATAAATAAATAAATAAATATAAATAAAGTTTATAGATCTGGGTTAAGCCATCGTGAATCTGGTGAGAACATGAATGCGGTGACCCTGACGAGTTGTCCNTTTATAGATCTGGGTTAAGCCATCGTGAATCTGGTGAGAACATGAATGCGGTGACCCTGACGAGTTGTCCGGCTGTCCATACACCTTCTAATTGATGCCCTGTAGCGAATTTTAATATACCATTTCCTTCTTTTCTTCCTTGTACGAATTCACCTTCATAACAACTACCATCCTCAGCACAATAAAAAGTACCTAAACCTACTCTTTTATCGTCAACCCATTGACCCTCATATTTGTTTCCATTTGCATATTGAAATACACCGAAACCACAAGCTCTATCATCAACCCATTCCCCTTTAAACCTATCTCCATTTGAGTATATTAATTCTCCTTCTCCATGTTTCTTAGCATCTACCCATTCACCTACATATTTGTCTCCTCGTGAATATGTTAGGGTCCCCTTTCCATGTACTTTGTCTCCTTTCCAATACCCTTCATATTTCTCTCCGTTATGGTATGTTAATATACCATAACCCTCCTTCATATCATTCACCCACTCACCATCATATTGATTACCATTAGGGAAGATATATTTACCTTTTCCATGCATCTTTCCATCTATCCAGTCTCCTTCATATTCTCCTCCATCACTATATGTATATTTGCCGTGTCCATGCATCTTTCCGTTAACCCAATCACCATCATATTTCTCAACTATAGAACCTTTTACACCTACATATATAACAACACCTTTACCATGTCTCTTATCATCTCTCCATTCACCTGTATATACATCTCCTTCTTTATATTTATATGTACCTCGTCCATGCATCTTTCCATCTATCCATTCCCCCTCATATTCATCACCATTTGCATATTTCAACTTTCCATAACCTGAAATCTTCCCCATGTCCCATTGACCCTCATATATATTACCACTTGCAAATACAGCTACACCCTGCCCATGTATTCTATCCTCTACCCACTTACCCTGATATGTAGCTCCATCTGCATACTCAAAACGCCCGTTTCCTTCTCTCTTACCNCCTCTACCCACTTACCCTGATATGTAGCTCCATCTGCATACTCAAAACGCCCGTTTCCTTCTCTCTTACCAAACACAAAATCTCCCTCATACTTCTCGTTACCCGAATATAATAATGTACCATGACCATGAAATAAACCATCTTTTATCTGACCGTGATATGCGTGACAACTCTCCACCATCTTCTCTATTCTTTTTTATTCTATTCTTTATATTTATTTATTTATTTATT